TAGTTTCCTCTTGTCAAATAAAATAAAAACCCATATTTTGAATCTGACAACAGTAATAATAAATAAAATAATCTATGAAAATAAAACAAGTGAGACATTGCTTTTCAACGATAATGCAAGAGAATGATTTTTTTTTTAAATGAACTAATGAAACATGACTGGACAAAAATTATAGTACATTTAACTTAAGCAATTACTGCAATCAAAGTATTCTTCTATCTGACATTAAGACTTCTGCACCTCTAAGCAGGTATTCTGGTCCACTCCTCATGAGCAAACTGATCCAGTTGTCTCAGGTTTGAAAGGTGCCTTTCCCAGATGGCATATTTCAGCTCCTTCCAAAGAAGCTGAATAGTATTTAGATCAATATTTAGATCATAAACACAGTTTTCAGCTGTGTGTTTTGGTTCATTAACCTGTGTCAGATCCATGACCTGTCACAGAATCCAAGCTGTCTGACGTTTGGCATCACATTTCTCTCTAGAATCCCTTGAAAGTTATGGGATTCTGTTGTACCCTGCATAGATTCAAGACGCAGTGTGCCAGAAGATGCAAAGCAACCTTAGACTGTGACTGAGCCTTCTTCATGTTTCACAGTAGAGACAGTGTTCTATTCTTAATATGCTTTATTTTTCTATCTGTGACCATATACCATAGAGCTGAGTTGCCTTGTTGTTTGTGAGCATGTAGTTTGGCAGTCTAGTCTGGCTTTTTTATGGTTTGTGTCCTCCTTGGTCTTCTCCCATTAGGTCCACATTGGCTCAAACGAGTGGTGTTATCTGACAATGATGTTCCTTGAGTTTGAAGTTCAGCTTTAATCACTTTAGAAATTTTTCAGGATCTTTTTTTACCCTTCATAACTCTTCAAATATATTTAATAAACCCTAGGGTTAAGTTAATGTTAACTATCGGCTGCTAAAAAGGTAACAGTTGCTGGTAACTGAGCACTAATTACATGCAAAATATTAATAGCATTACAAGGAAAAATGTATGAAAATGTAGGGCTGTAATTTTCTAATATTATTTTGAAATTCATATGTTTGTATCTTGTCTATTTCTAAGAAGTAATAATGTGTTATATTTCATTCTTAAATGTATTAGCCTATACTTTCAGTTTTCCTTTGAAATTCTTTGCAAGACTCAGAATACAGTAATTGCTGTTTCATTCAGAGTGCACCAATGATAATGACTCAACTATTCTGCCTAACAAAAGGACAATTTGAGCGTTTTGAGTCTTTATATCCCTCATTATCAAACTGTTTTTCTATAGTTAAAACCTTTTAATAGATTTACCCAGTGATTATAGGTCAAACATCACACACAAAGTCATAACGTTCATGCAGTAAAAAGTGGAATTACTTCACAATAAAAGAGCAAACAGGATTTATCTGTGCTGCGTCAGTTTAGCATTCTTCAACTGACCCTAGAAAACCCTTTTTTAATCTTCCTTTTGTACTGTATGCATATTTCATTCATTTTTGCTCTCCTCCATACCCATTTCTTTCTCTCTCTGCCTCTCTCTCCTCCCACCTCTGAGAATATGGGTCAGCATTTCTAAAATCCTCTGTCTGTTTAAAGTTTGGTAAGTGCACTCCAGGTGGTAATGCAGTGAATATTAAATTTGTAATCAGCAAATTCATATGTTCACTATTGGAATATTCTGATTATTAAAGTGAATCATTTCCCAGGGGCCCTCAGTTAAGTTACATGCTTCCTCTAAATGCAGAGTTAAAAAGCTCTGAGTGGAACTAAAGGGAAATTGCCCTTTATTTTTGTCACATCATCCAAAATAAAAACGTTTCAGTATCATTATCAGAGGAACGAAAAATCATGCAGTAATGTTGTCATATCTTGTGTGTTGAAAATATACAAAAAGAAATAACTAACAGCAATGAAAAAATTTATTAGTAATAAGTATAAGTTTATTTAAAGGGTAAATTGTTCAACAGATATAAACCATTAAAACTCCTATAAAATTGAAGGGAAATTCTGAATTACTTGAGCAGATACTACATGTAAGATGCTGCAGTGAAAATATAAGTCTAAAAAAAAAAATTATATGTTAGCACTTATGTAAAGACCACTTAGGCTTAAAAGCTAGGAATCTTTTTGTCTGAGTTTAGCTTAAAGCTTTTGCATCTGGTTCAATTCATTTATTCTTCAGAGTTTTCATGAAAAAATAAAAAATAAAAAACACACAGGAAGACAGATGGTGGTGCAAAATGTTATACCCAGTCGATAAATCCACGGCATAAAAGATTAGGATGTCTGACGTTATGGATTGCATTATTTTCAAAAGCTGTCTTATCAAAAACGTCTGGGTTAAATGCTGTTTCCATCATCTATAGGCATATCCAAATGATTGATCATCAAAACGTGTTCCCAGGCTTTTCTGAGACTTTCCAGTTTATGTAATAGTATGCTTCAACACAATATTTCAGAGGGATTTATTGTGATTTCTCAATTATTTTGACAGCTTCACTTAAACATGTCTACTTCAGCTTCCAACTGTAGACATACGTTAAGGAGGCAGGGTCCTCTGCCAAGCTTTAAAAAGTAAAAGAAAGGCTTCTTTGATGGTTTTCTATTTTTTATTATTGCTATTTATTCAATACAGCTGATATTATTTTCCATATGCTGTTTTCAGGTTTCTGGAATGTTAATGTTTTCTTTATGACTCTTTCCCATATAAGAGTATGTTAAGAAATAAGAGATTTCCATGCAGTAATTAGCTGACTCTGTGATTCTTATTGGCTAATGTTCAGCATATATTAGCCTTAGTTTTTTAGGTCCTTGTGTCAGAAGAGTAAATAACTTAACTTATTAGGAAATAAATTTATGTGAAATTTCATCTATAGAGATTTTTTTATTAAAGCTGCTGAGGTTTTATTAGAAAATATTACAACAAATACAGCAGACATAAAAAGGATAAAGTTGTAAAATACTTTAGAGGAAGAGATAACTATATTTCTTACTGAACATTGGCTAATCTATTACCACAAATTAAGGAAAGTATGCCACCTCAAACTTACCACCACATACATGATGGCCTACCTAAAATCATATTATAAACATAGAAGGCATTAATCATGGAAGCAGCCAGACCTTAGAGGAACTTCAGAGATTTTTTTTTCTTTATTAGTATTGCTATTTGCAGTTTGCCACCAGTAATATAATGGATAAAGAAGTTAGAGTATTTTTTTGTAATCAGATTGGACCAAAATAAAATGTTGCTACTGTATGTCCATAACAATTTACATGACAGGTTTTAGTTGTGACAAAATGTCAAAGGCATTCTTTTATTATTTTCATTTTCACACAGTGAATGTCTAACAATTATTTAGTTGGATATGTTTTAAACAAGTCCAGTTCTGCACAAAAAAGCTTTGTCTCTAAAAGTGTTTGCATACCCATATTCACTATGAAGTATTTTCTAGCATAGGGCCAAACTCTGCAGCACTCTTAGATTCGTCAAATGCATTTAAATGATATTACTTTCTATTTGATGTAACAAAAAGTACTGTATAATTGCAACTTGAAAATAATCCTCAATAAAAATGACCGTTTCTAGAAAATAAAAACGGTTCTTTTAAAGCCCACCTACTTGAATCAGGACATATTACTCTGGCTCTTCATATTTCCACAATTAAAGAGCCACCCCTCCCAGAGCCACTCTAACAGCTGGCCATTAATCAGGTCTCGCGCTCGATTTCTCTTCCACCACAGGTTATGATTTTCACATTACGCTGCTCTCCCTAACCGCCTTCCAACAAGAAAATGACCCTCTCTCCACCACAGCACAAATGAGAGAGAGAAGGCAACATCCTCTCTGCTTGCATAAACTGTCCACATGTACGACTGGCTTAAAGTAAGGTTTCATGCGTACTTAAACATTTGTGAGTTTATGCTTAACCCCCCTGCCTGAAAATCTTTCAGCTATTATCCTGTTCTAATTACACTTTCCTCCTGAAACAGTGGATCACAGGGCACCATTGACTGCTTTTAATCCGCCACCAAATTTTAATTAACACAGACGTGACCCCCGTCTACGATACATCCCGCAGAACGTCAGGATCACAATAACTCATAAATCACAGTCACAGATTTCATTCCCCCCTGCTTTCCTGCTTTGATGAATTTCCAGATGGGGGCTGGTGACTGTTAATGTCGACAGAAATGCGAGGGACAGACGGAGAGGGAAAGTGTTTTGGAGAAATAGATGGATCGAAAAAGGCTGTAAGAAGATGAACAGCGAGGTTAAATTCTGGGAAATTTATAAAGTGTGTCTTTATGAGGATGAGAGAGAGAAAGAAATGGCAGTAGCTCTCATATGCTGTCAAACTTTGGGAGATTTGTTACCGGGGAGAGGATTATGGAGGCTGTGAAATGGGGTTGAGTTAATATGCTGGCCATTGAAAAACATGATGTGGGTCCGCCAGCTTCAGTCTCCAAAAATCAAAAGGCTGAACAGGATAAAGTGGTGTTTTCAAGAATTAATTAACATCTCTATGTTTATTCAAGTATCTGCAATATTCTTTAATCAGTGCTTTTAAATCATGAACTTTTCAGAAATGATCATTACCTTAATTGAAATTAATGCATATGAGCCATCATTAAACCACAGCCTGCCACAAACAACTACTCAGTGTGCCTTTGTTTATGGGTGTTTGCTCAAAGTGTGCGTAACCGTGTGTGAGTTAGTGGATCAGAATGTGTGGATGTAGAGGTGGGCAGGGTGCCTGGGTTTGTTATTACTAAATCGCTCATCCATGCCACTAATTAAGATGCATAGCATCCCCCTATGAACGTCAGTGTCGCTAATTATCAAACAATGTACTGCTCACCAGATATGAAAACTGGCAGCCTCTGTAGTCATGTTACCAACCTATTACTGCTACAATTACCAAGTGCCTGTCATTGTACTTGTTAGTCATCTGCACTCATTTTTTCCTCACTAGTGTTTATTATTTCTCACTTTGCATTTTTTCTTGTTTTTAAAGGTTATGGCTTTGTGGATTTTGACAGCCCAGCTGCAGCACAGAAGGCTGTGTCATCTCTAAAAGCCACTGGGGTGCAAGCCCAAATGGCCAAGGTAAGGAGGGTTTCTCACTATTTGCTGTATAGGCATGGGTCGACACGATGTTCTCACATTTTATCTGTGAGTAAACTGTTGTTGTTTAATTGTATTACACAAGCAAGAATGAACACCAAGATCTAACTGATGTTACTCGAAATTTATAAAAACAAGTCTTCTTACTGTGGCTACAAGTATACATACACACCCACATGTTATGTCCAGCTATCCATACGCGGACTTTGCATTCATTTCTATGGCCTAACCAAGAATCTTACCCTAAACCTAACCATTACCAACAATGTGGCATGTTCCCAGAATATTAACCTCATTACAAGATACTAGAAGATACATGGCTATACAATACACATGTATACATATTTATACATTATTAATATATTGATGGTTCAGATTTAAAAGATTGACTGCAAAAAAAAAAAAACTTAGAATAAACATCTGATAAACTTAGGACCCTTTTTTTAATGTTTCTTGATTCATAGCTGCAGAATGATATACCTGCAGTTTCAGAACTGTAAATTCAGTTAAATACCAGTATTGTTTCATTTAATTGTTTTTTATATTTTGGTGTTTAAAGTTTTACAAGTCTGTCAAATTTAGAGAACAACACTTATCTCTGTTGAGTGTTGTGGTTTTGGCTAAGGATCTTTGGTGTAATTAGATTTTGAAAGAACTACAAGCCCATGAACCAACTTTATAAGCAACCAATCTGGAAACAATTTGGTGGCAACCCACCTCCCCCATTAGGCGGTGAAGAATTCTGATCATTTGTTATCTATAGTATTAATGGAGCTTAGCTTTAACTATGGGAAACATGGCAAAGAATGATCAAAATGTAATCTTATCTGCTCAGGTAAAACTCCCCCCTGCTTGCTTTAAGTCTGTTGCATACTGTACTCTGCAGGAACCTATTTTTCTTGTACTGGAGGTACAACAAGAAAAAAGTTTATTTTGCCTTAGAGTATTTAATGTTTGCAGAAAGTTAGGTTGCTGAAATGATAGAATGCCCTGTCCACTGTAACCTATGTCACACCTGTAAAAACAAATACAGCAACGCAATGACAGAGGGGGCAGTTTTTGGATTTATGGAGGTAGAGTAAGAGAGTCAAATGCTGTATACATCTTGAAAGAAATATAGATATTTTCACATTTTCTAGCCATTTCTGAAAACATATAATGTTACAATGTACTGTGCAAATTTCTGCATGCAAATAAAGGGTAGAATACCAGAGAAAACTTAAGTTATTCCAATGTTTTCCCTGGTAATTCAGGGAGAGCAGTTTTAACTGTACACTTTGATGGAAAATGTAAGCAATTTTAAAACACACCTTTTCTTACATTGATTCCTAACCAACCAACCTATTCCATTTATGATACTTAAGTCATCTTGTCAGACTTTTATTTCACGCTAAAGCTTTATTTTGTACATTTAACACAAGTAATAGTTTTGGATGAACCTGACAAGCTCCCACAAACATTCTGCTTTAAACCATAAACACATTTTTACTGGATGTAATTTCCCAGAACATGTTTCACTTAATGACAAACTTTAACTTGGTTAATGTAAGCCATTCGCTGCTTTCAAGTGTTTTTTCCGTGACACATTTAAAGGTGACTGTGAAGTATATACATATGTTTATCTTCCTGACACCGCCTGAAAGGACAAGATGAGTATCTATGAGAATGCAGTCTGTTTCAGGAATGTGATGTGAGCCGTATGCTGAGTTGTACGTCTGTCATTCTGTAAATCTGAGTGGAACTGCTGTATTTTATGGCACGCAGGTCTGCCTGTGGGTGAGCTGGAACTTCTCTCAGTGAACTTTGACCACCTCCTGTTTTCTGTGCTGTGCCTTATTAAAGCGTTAAAGTAGAAGCAGATGAGAGAGTTTTTTTCCTGCTCAATAAAGGCCATATTGGCTAACATAGAACTAATAGTAGAAACTTGGCACATTCGTTTTATTCACTGTTGTAAAATTTGATTTTGTTGATTTTAATTTTTGTTTCTATTGGTTAGAAGCCACTATTATCAAAATTGACATTAATGCTCAAAATAAATCACACTTTGCAATCAATTTCATTGAACCGAATTGCTTATATGAATGATATTTATAATGAGATCCACAGTTATTGGGATGTACCAGTATTTCCTTGTTAGTTTTCATTGTTGTCAAACTTAGCTTAGCATGAGCTGATTTCTGTTTTGCTCTGTAACTAATCAAATATTGGTAAGTGTCTGAATATCTAAGTAGGTGGGAAAAAATGTCAGCAGCATTGAAGCAATAAATATGGTGATGACTCTGAGGGATCACCATGAGTGATTTTCGCAGATGAGATGTAAGCATTTGCTCTGATCCCCAAAAATCCCCCCAAACCTGCCTCCACCCCCCTCTTGAAGCCAAAGAGCGGCTGATGAGATGGAGAATGGCGCCAGTGAAGATGACAGAACCGATGATAACGATGAAGGTGGCGATTATTTTGATCAAATGGGATGGGATCTGACAGGAGGAGATGATATCCAGCGTGGTGCTCAGGTGTGCCATTTCTCAAATGCACCATTTGGCCGTTTTCTCTCCCCAGCAGTGTCCTTCTTCCAATATTTATAAGAGGGCAGGCTCTCAGAATACAGATAGGATCTTTGTCCATCTCATTTTTAGGACCATACTTTGCATTGCTCACATTTTCTCTGTCAATATTTTCATCTAAGGGGCTTCTGTGTCCCAAAACAAAGAGGCTGACCTTTTTTGGAGAATCTTTATTTTGCACACATGCATCAGCGCATTCATGAAATCCTTTTCTATTAGCATTAATGTATAATAGTTGAGGTTTGAATGCTCCCTTGCACTGTTCACTCAAATGTTAAGGCCAGTATTCCTTTTCTGCTGCAACCCTGTGCCTTTATCACACTTGTGAGAGACATTAAGCAGTAGTTTACTTTTATAGACTCCCTCTGCATCTCTCCAATGTCTCTTTACCATGTATCACTACCATCACTCTACCAACTCCAGCTTCTAATACCTCCCACCTGTATTTTCACTTTTTTTTTTCTTTTGTTTGATGCAATTTTCCTGCACACATTAATACTCCTCTTTAGTTTCACATCCACCACAGGTTTTACTGCCAACCTTTAGTGCAACCTATTACCAGAGATAAATGTATGTGCTGATTTTGTATCTAAATGCCTGCATCTATATTTATTATTTTTTTTATTTTATATTTTTTTGAATAAATTAAGATTCAACAATGAATGGCAATTAAATATTTCCTGTTACATTAAGGAAAGGGAAATAAGCCCTGAGGGAAAAAAACTACTAATGCCACAGATAACTTCCATATAAAGAACTTTATCCTTGATTCTCTCAGTCCACTCATTCTATTTTTTCAGATATTACACCCAAAAAAAACAAAGTGATAAGTAAATATTAAGTTAGACAAAAAGGCTTTTAGCTCATTAAATAAAATTGTCACTGTAATTCTGTTTTGCCTTTTTCCCCTGCTTTGACAGGAGAAACTGTGATTTGATTACTATTAAAGGCCTATTATTAAGATACATTATTAAAAAAAATAGGCAATGGAGGCAAGAAGCCAATGAGAAAGAGAAACCATCATTTTATTATTTTTTTTTTTACTTCATTTACAAAGAAATAGCTCACTGTGTCTCTCCTCTAACTCCCCTCGGAATTTAAAATACCAAGGCAGCAGAGATGAAACATCGCCTTCCTTTTGTCTTGCTCTCTCCAGGGGCCGGTGACAGTAAGAGGGAGGAGGGCCATAATTAAGACACCTAAAGGACACTTCCCCCTGCACCACCCTACATGTCACTCACCTCCACACAAGCCACAGATAAGAGCAATTAGCATAGGTTAGGGAGGGTTTGTTGGTATTTGAATGGGCCGGTTTGCAGATGAACTGGGAAATGTATAGTGTGTAAGATTGTTAGTGTGCACAACTACACAGTACACTAAAATATGAATTTCAATTCAGTTTTTGCTATACTTAATGTGGATGTACAGATTTTTTCTTCTTTTTTTAAACATGATGTTCAATATGATCCATTTTTTGTTGTGATTAAAAGAAAGAAGAGCAGTTTTCCTGCTATTTTGTTAATTCTTATTTGGTTGTCTCTTGTATGCTGTCATTTAATAATGAAACAGTCTTATGGCTATTTAATAATAAACAAATAATAAATACTAAGGAATAAGCGTTTAAAGGATATGATTCACTTTTCAGTCTAATAATAACCATATGCATCTTAGGAACATACAAAGTACATAAGAACATAAAATAAATGGTAATAAAAAATAAATAGTGCACATACAGATCGCTTAAATTTGAACTGTGTATCAAATAACCTGGTTCCCTGTTGTTCTATCTGATATTCCATTGAAAAAATATTTAATTGAGATTATAACTTTTTTTTTCTTTTATAAGATCTCCTAGGGTTAAGAAAGATGATTATTTTCCTCATCATCTTTTGTCTGTGAGAGGGTTTATAAACAGAGCAAAGTCACCTATTTGTTTTCTCACAGCACGGACTCCATTCTCTGTGCCACTTTGTTCAGGTAGCTTTCCGAAGTGAGAGAACTGACACATCGAGCAGACAAAATGATAACAGGCAAACGCCGCATCAAGCTTCGCAGATGCAAACCTGTCAACCAGCCGCTCGCCTCACTCTCCACAGGCTGCCATTTTCCCCTTGAGCCAATCAGACTGAATTATGGGAAGGGCGCCCTCGATTGTGGTGTCTGTGTCGGAGAGGTAATTCCGCCTGACAGCTGCTTGCTTTCAGACAACAGCCAGTCTTTATGGAAATCATCCCTCCCTATTCTCGCTGCAGTCGGGTTCTGCTGATAACAGCCCGGGTGAAAACAAAGCAGTCCCTTTTCTACTTTATTTTTTTTTTCCGCCACATTTTTCAGCGTGTACAGCTGAGAATTAGCAAAGCAAGGCTAATATCCCATGGAGATTTTTTGTTTTCAATATGAACTCTGACTAGAAACCAT